TTTTTTTTTTTTTTTTTTTTTTACTAATGGTCAGAAATCATTTCCATTTTTCATGCTTGATTTAACCCACAGTGGATGTTGCCAGACATTAACTGTAGCCACTGTCCCCACAAATCTTGATCTCTAAACCAGCTGGAGGCAGAAACAAAACAACCAATTAACAGAGACTAATTGGGTGAGAGATAGGACATGAAGCGTAATTAGAATCTAAGAATAATGCTGAAGAGTCACAGCCTCATCATTAAACACAAATGTTTTGCATCTTCAGCAGCTCATGGAGAGAAACAGTGTGCATGTGTGTACGAGTGCATGCTGGTGTAGGAGAGGGCAGGATTTGGGCTCCACATTCATCTTTACATGGAAGAGACTTCACATTTAGAAGCAACTAAAGCAGAGGGTTTGACTGCTGAATGTGGTCACAAAAACCCAGAGCAGAGCACATCACTTCCAAAACTTTGGCTGATGGATGGCCAGTGATGGGGAGATCCAGGATGCTAATCAAAACAAAAATCGATCTTCTCACTCTTTGATAAACTGGCAGCTTTGTAAAGTATTACTATTAATAGAGAACAAGTAAAGCTCTTCAACAAGTTTATCACCACACACTGAAGTCTAATATTGTTTCTGTCAAACGCATTTCTCCCCAAGTGCAGCAGAAATGAAAGTGTGAAAGCAAGAGAAAAAATTACCTTTTACACTAACTGTGATGTAAGGATCAATGCACTGACCGGCATCTTTCAAACCAATCTTCTCAATTTTGATGGTAAGTAATGTCATCCCGGGTTCAGATGGCAGCCTGGGTAATAGAGTTCCTGGCAACAGACAGTAAATCAAGGCATTAACCCTTTGGGACTCTGACAGCAAAGGCCCCCACCCTACTCATCATCCTTGCTCTCAAAAGTCTTTGTCCACTATCAGCTCTAGTGGACTAAAACCAGGAATCAGGTTCCTTTTGTATCAAGTCCAGAAGTCTCATCCAGATGATACATACAACTACAGCAAAGCATGACCTTCATTTTATATTCGGCCAATACTATTATATCACACTAAAATGCAACCACCTCTGGGGTAAAAAGTGATAAATCAGTGCCTGCTATTGGACAACACTAAGGTAAAAATCGCCCGTTAGCAGGAAGTGTTGTGGCTACATCAAACAGAGCAGACAGGACCCTTGGTTTTAAGGTCTCTGGTTTGCATGCACACTAAGTTGTATGGAACTGTGTACACTTTTAAAGGGTTAACTCTCATCTGCTGGAATTATAATCTGTTGCTGCAGTGAGTCCAGGCATTTCATATGCAATGCTTAGTCCACTAATTCAAACACCTTTCAACGGAGAGAAGGGAATGCAATATCGATATGATCCCCACTACCCACTGAAATCAGAGAAATACCAGGAGGGGAAAAAAAAAAAAAAAAAAAAAAAGGGTTTTCTGGAGAAGCGTTCATTCATGGTTCTACAAGCTGTGGACTTCAAAAAGGCAGCAGCACAAAAAAAAATAAACTAAAAAAACGTGTGCAACTCTCATGTTCCCTCAGTACTGGGGAAATCATTTCCAGCTAAACATCAAGAAAAATCAAGTAAGTTTTTATCCTCAGATGGAGAGCAAAAAGGAATCCCTCTAATGTCAAAGTATATAGTTAGCACAGCTGGCAGTCTCCATGAAGTCTAAGTTGTCAGGAGCACTGAAAGTCAGAGACCCTTGTAACCAGCCGCAGGCTCTTTCCTGCATGCTGATATTAGAGAAAATGGGGAAATTTTAATCCACACTTTGTTGTTATTACTACTAAAAGTCTTACATGCCTAAGAGAAATAGTAATCAAAGACATGAGCATGTTTAATTTAAAGCTTTATTTTTATTGCAAATTGTAGGATGCCATAAAATAAATAATGAAAAGAAAACCTCTCTCGGGGTGAAGGTCGGGAGCAGGGAGAAAAATCAAGTCAGTTTTTAAAAAAGCGTTTACTGAGATTTGAAAAGGTTTTGAGACTTGGAGAACCTAAGATTTTTTTAGACAACTAGCAGAGGCAGGCTTTGAAAGCATCATGCATTTCTCCTTACAACTGTGCACGGACTTCCGTGGGAGCCGTATGTCCATCTAGCCACCCCTGGGAGCCAGCAAGGACTTTTGTTATTACCCTGGTAGTGGTTGTAGTAGACTCACAGCCACTGTGCACCAGCCACTACAAAGAAACATGCTGTACACTGAAGAATGGGTCACAACGGCATGCACATGCATACTCGCCTGCCCTCCAAGGAGGAATTCGGTCCCCAGCACTTAATGTTAATGGGACAGGTTTTAAACTTGAGAATGAGGAATAGACTAATGGAGATTTAACTGGACAATCCCAACAGCACTAAAAACAGAGGTAATTATACTGGAGATTTTTATTATATAAGAGATAAATATTCTCTTCTCTACTAGTGTGTGTATACCTATACCCCGCTTCAGGCTGCCATGTGTTTTTATGCTACGTTTATTAGAGACGCTTCTCCATTTCGTTATTTTTAGGAAATGGGGGTTTGTACTTCACCAGCCTCTCTCTACTCCTGAAAGGTTTAGAGATGCATTTCCCATCTTCCGCTGACCCAAAAATAGAAAAAGAGGCACACCAAAGTCATTTGCAGAGAAGAGAGGCCCAGTCAAAGGTAAAAAAAAACCACGATGCCAATTTTTTCTGCGCTATCCAGGGATGGAAACTTTTTTGCCTGTCAGTAGAATATTTGATTCAAGTGATTCTCCAAGTCTCATTCTTGGAAAGATTGAAGTGATTAAGAACAAACCTCTAATATTTGCTGCTTCTGGAGAGTGCTGGACTAACTCTATGAAGTCCTCTACTAACCGCCAAGTAGGAATACGATTCAAGCTCAACTCTTCCATTCCCTCCCTCCCTTGGGTAGCCCCATCTCCTGGCACCTTAATCCCCAAAACCACTTACAAAGAACAAGTCCATCATATATGTGATATTAACTAGAAATTAGATCGAAGTCACTAGATTTGTTTTATGTTGGAGCTATAGCAACCTCTATATAGTATTTGAACCTGAGGCATATAGTCATCACTCAGCATTCACATTCTCCTTTTTAAGTGAAGCGATCCAGGAGAGACTTCGATAGTTCCAGATCAAGTGACAAGGGAGCCTTCTACTTATTTTTGTGGGAGCCATCAAACGTGAAAGAACAAAGTACCAGTGTATTTACCAAGATACCCTGGTAACACAACTTTCTGGACGAAAGGTTTCCAGTCAGCAGGACATATCCAGTCAGGCATTCACCTCAAAGGAAACCCTGCTACACATGCAAGTCATAATGTTGTTAGACAAAGCATGCAAGAGAGCCAAGTTTCTAGACTGCCATCTAATGTGCTTCACCAGAGCTTTTTCTCACCCGATTTTCACAACCAAAAAAGCCTCAAACTTTTTCGGTGCTAGACAGCTATACTTTGCCGTTTGGAATTAAGATGTACATGAAAGACGCCATTAACAACATCAACGTGATCAAAGTTACTGAATATATAAAGAGGTTGTCATACCTTCAGTTGCTCCTGGATGAATGGAGTAGCATATGATAATGATGAAGCCATGCATGTAGAAGACAAGATCATGGACAGTTAGACAATACAGTTATGATATACGGATTAAAAGCATACAAGAAGCAAAGCCTGTGAGGGAAGTACAACGTAGACATATTAATTCACCCAAGACCGTGTTTAGGCTTCACAGGCCTCAGGTCAGAAAGTTCTGTTAATGGTTTAGTTTAGTCGGGGCCTTATTGTCCACAGAAAAATGATGAGCCGACTCCTGAAGACAAACAGACCAGTCGACGTAATGTCAAGAGCCGTGCCACACCAATGTTTACATGCGACAGGAAAGATAAATTCAAACTGGCCAAGACGGAAAAACAACTCAAGGCATTTTAGTGTGTTTGCATTAAGACAGTTTAATTTAGCCTTCAAGAAGAAAGGCTAAGTGAAAGGCTGGATGTGAACTGACAGAGCAATTTGGGTGACAAAGTAAATGTTAGTGTTTAGTTTATGAGGTGGTGACCTCACCTCTATGTAAAGTGTAATCCTATTCCCTCAAAAAAGAAAGTTTCCGTGAGAAAAAGGCATGCTAGGCCGTGATGTTCGCTCAGGTTTCCATTTCCAGCGCACAAAGGTTTCAGCTAAACAGAGGTCTCGGTCAATCCGGCCATCTCAACCTGACTGTAGAATCAAGCTGGGTTCTTTCCTCCTGACGCACACCCCCTCTTCTGGCAGTTTTGCACACCATATGAAGTCCTCGGGTGCACCTGTACAACCTGCTGTCTTCATTCAGGAAGCACAGAAGTGTTTGATCGGGACAAATCAGAACGACTCGTTCTGTTAGCAATTTACCAGGAGGAGAAGGACCCAGCTCATTCTGTCAGTACTGCACAGCCAAGACAGCTCACAAAGGATAAAAAGCAGCAAACATTTGTAACTACAATAAGCAGATCCAACTGTGGGTGCACCCAGGGAACAAGGCTAACTAAGAGTACCACGTTCACCTCCTTGTTGTTCCAAACAGAACCACACTGTGTCCATGTGAATTGAATGCTTCCCAAGATGCTGCTTACAGCTTGGGAGAGAGGTGACCAGTTACCTCCAGAGCAGATCTACCAGTGCAGGAGATCAGTAAACTTCCCCAAAATGCTTTGCTGATGCACCCTGGTCAATCCCAACAGAAAGAACCCCTCTTCTGGAAGGCAGTTTGGTTCACGCGCTTCATTCTTGTTATCAGTTTAATTGCACATGTAATAATGGATGCAAGTGAGCTACAGGCTGCAGCTCAATTCTTAGCAAGCAGCTGTCAGCGAACAATCAATCAATGAAAGGCAACTTAAACAAAGTTGTGCTTTTTTCTTTTTTATACCATCCATTTCTATCAAGCTGCCTTCCTGCTCTTTATGAGGCTGTTTTCTTTAAAGTAGCTCCTTCTTCAAACCTCACTGGCCATTTAGCTTCTTACTGAGACATTAGCATTTGGCTCATTATGTTATATACAAGATAAACTCTTTAGAAACATTTCTTAAAATTAGCTTCTTAGAATCCTTAGAATTATCTTCATCCTGATTTTTTTCACAGTACTGTCCATTAATATGGTTTCAAAGCTGGCTTACAGATACAGTGGAAAACAGAAAACAATGCCATGGTCAACACTAGACTTGAAACCAAGACAGAACTCACATTTACATACAATTTCCCATAACAAAGAGCAGAGACAGCAAGAGAGCTGATTTCAAATGTTGTAATTATGTACTGTACTACAAGCCTAGTCAGTTAAAGTCTGCACCACTTCCACTAAGCTTTTAAAACTACACTAGATAAGTGATGGCACGCAGAAATCTTTTATATAAAATTATCATAGTGCCAAGTGGAGCCCTGATCATATAGATGGAGTGCCCATCTCAGTTCTTTCCTTGCATTCACATGTTATAATACTAGTACTAATCTCCAAACCCCTTCCCAAAATTCAGAAATTCACCATTTTGATCTCAAGGAAGAAAAAGATACAAACAAAAGATGTCTAAATTAAAATTTTCTGCTCCCCAATCCCTCCCAAAAAATTAACTGCTGGACTTTGGGGCATGTATTATAACCAAGAAATCAACAGTTTCTGTAGCATAAGCCTGAGGGAAGGTGAAGTTAAGTGCATGTAACGCTGCATGTGCACCACAGGGAACAGCACAATGACCACGATGAACTCCCTAGCTGCTGCTACTCAGTCACTTACTGCTACTTACCCATATTTTCAAGGAAAGATCTTTTTCCTTCATTCTGCCTTTCAAAATGAAGGTATGTATCTTATTTAAAGGAGTGTTGTATGAGAGAAAGTACAGTAAGTTAAGCTCATTTGAATCTGTTGAAGAAGCATTGAGTGTGCATTTCTCACATACAGAGTTGTAGTTTCCCATAGGCTGTTACTTCATTATCCAAACTCTCCAAACCGCAGGAAGAGCAAAGGGACAGTGGCAAAGAAGTATGCACTTGCTTATGATGCTTTATCCATAAACTCCATCATATTCAGCATGTAGTCAGAAACTCCTGTAGGATGTGTACTGCTTAAGTATCTAGCCATTCACAAGACACTGAACATGAACCAGAACTCACTAGAAACTGCTGTCTCATAAACAGCACATAAACAAGTCTTAATGTAGCTTCCCCCCTACCCTCGACATGTGAGATGTCGTAAGACAAAGCTGGTTATCCTACCTGGAACTCTAGCAGGAAAGGAATCTGGAGACCCTGCTCCAGCCCCACCTTCTTCATCATCTTCCTCAAATTCCAAGTTCTCTTCTTCTCCAGGTGCCAAGATCTTCCTGTGAGAAAGACAGAAAACTTGGGCATGTGCTTTAAAAATAAAGGTTACAATTCAAAAGACTCCATAGCCCAGTATAGTTCAACACAACTACACTGTAACACAACATACAACCAAGTGCCACGTCTACTAACTAATTAACTCTGGGAAGCTAACATGCAAGCAACAGGAGGAGGATAGACACATTAAGGGCCAAATTTCCGAAGTGGCATTTAATTTTGAACCTACGCAGAGCCCACTTTTTTTTCCACTAGGCTCAGAAGAACTTTTATGACTTCAGCACATGTGAAGGGCAAGGGAGAAAACAGATGAAGTGTTCCCGGTTAGCTACTAGACAAGACTACCTTTCATACCAATTTGGTTGTACAGGAGACCCTCACCATCTGTGGGGGATACGGTCTAGAGATCCCCATGAATGGGGAAATCCGTGAATGCGTTCGTGAACATCTGCGTTCTGCGTCTGTGTTCATGAACAGCACATGCAGGTGGCGGTGGGAGCGCAGTGGTGGCAAGTGTGGAGCTCCCACAGACGCTGATGCCACCATAACACTATACACTATGGAAAGCGCATGCGCGGGGAGAGCGCGTGCGCTCAAATATTCACACCACAAATATTCAAAACTGCGAATCGCGAATAGCAAGGGTTTCCTGTACATGTACAAATCCACAAATTCTTCTTTCCTTACCTGAGTGGAACAGGCTGAACATCAAAAGGGAATTCTTTATTATAGGTGAGAATATTCTTTAAGACTGTAAAGGAAAAAAAGTTGCTTTAAGAATAAGAAAAGATCATCAAAACTCCCAAAGACCCACCCACCAGATATCTATTCTTGTGGAGTTTTTGCAACAGATATATCAGGGTGCACCAAAAAGACAGTGATAGCACTATTAAGTTTATAACATTACCTCAACATAAATTATTCCCATATAGTGTACTTCAACCTGAAAAGCAAGCTTTTACACATATTGCACTGTTAACAAAATAATATTCATAAAGTATTCTGAAGAGAAATGAAGGGCTTACTGCATGGTTAGCAATCCAAGGGTAGTAATTCTGGGACAAGCAATGGTTGCCAGGAGTTCAAGAGGAACACTGGGTTACCAACACACACTTGAATGAAAATCCTCCAGAATTAACATTCTTTAATGCATGTGAAGGGTGCCCTCCTAGTGAACACTCAGCCAAAACTGGTAGGTGGAAGTCTGACTCTGCTGCTGTTAGTAAAGTGCAATTTGCCTGAGTCATGATGGTCTACTTAAGCCTAGAAGGAAGACAAATAGATTTAAGAACCAGGAAAACTCTGCTTCCACTCGGAATTAAACAGCAGAACCTGACGGGCCTAGTGGATACTGAAGGCTGTTGCAGACACTTTCCTGAAAGCAGCTATTCTATAGTCATGAGATTAGCACAGGAAGCTTGTTATAGTATGAAATTATCAGGATGTTAGCCTCTCTCTTGTCCACTATTTAAAGCAGATTCAAAGTACTGAAAACTGGATATTTCAAAAGCACTCAAAGGAACTGGGCACCCAGTTCTCCCCCTCTCTGCTCCCAAAATCCATCTTACCTTTCAACTCCATTCCTACCCCCTTGTCCTTCTTTCCTCTGCTTCAATCCCTAATTTTCTCAATCTTAAGTATTTAAGTCAGGCTGGTAGGAAGCTTCTTTCTTCTCCCAGTTGCCTGACCCGAGCAGGAAAATCTCTACCAGCACAGAAGGCAGTCTCCTGCCCTCAGATCCTGTGTCTGAGGCCACAGCAACCAGACTCCCTGGTGGGTGCGCGACTGTTGGACAAGCATAACTCAAGATGTACAAAGATCTAACAATTATATTGGAACAGTTTATACTGGCATAATTGTTATATCAGTCTACCCCAACAGTTGCATAAGTGAGTAAGCCACTGCAACTTTAAGCCAGTTTCATTCAGGCTTAAAGTTAAGAAAGGTCTAGCACAACATAAAACAATATAGAAGCATAATAAATTAAAACAGCTAAGGCATGCTCCTGAACAATCTCCCCTCTTTTAAAACTGCTTACACAATGCCTACCCACAGCCTCAATCACTTGGTCAGGAGTAAACAAGTGCAACATAACTGCTGGTTTTGCAAGAAGATGGAGAATGACCAGCGTAGACAAACTTTGAGAATTTAGTTGCCAAGCTCCCATAAGGCTCTGAGCACATGCAAATTGCTTCTATTTTTTCCCTTCAGAGATAATGGCCTTGTACAGATATTTAGTGTCTCCTGGAAGAGTTGCTGCTGACGAGCAACTAAGGTTAAATAACTCCCAGGAGTTTTTCCTGGGAGATTGAAAGTCAGTACATGCCGTGGCTTCTCTCGAAAGAGACAGTGTGCGCGACTCGCTGGACTTTGCTGCTCCAGCAGGGAGCCAAACATGCCCTATTCACAATCCCCAAACTGTGCTGCAGAGGAACACAGGCTGACTATGGGTAGTAGTCTGGACCAGGCAATCAGGGCTGCCCGATGCACTGTTGCCATCTGTCACCAAGCAGACTAAGGGAACCTGCAGAGCACAGAGATGGTGCACAAGGGCCCCCCTCCGGCTGCACATGTCAGCACTACAAGCTCTCCACTCTTCAGGGCTTCACCATTCAAATGTCTGTACGTGCAGGTCTGGGTAAGTTTCTCCACCAGGAGAACAAACCTGGAAGAATTCTCCTAGATTATTTGAATGTGTACACACAGCCAATTTAAAGCTTGCCACAAGCTTTCCATGAGAACAGCAAAAGGCATATGCCTACAATCAGGATGATTCTCTCTTGCTTCAAAACATGGAGGTATGAGAACTTAAATTTTAAAATAGCAATTCACCCAAAGACCCTGGTCTGCAAAACAGCAATAAGAATTTTAACACTAGTAACCTAGCATTTCTCCTACACTGCTCTGTACTGGTTTTGATAATGTCCCTGTTACCAAAGCCTGAGCTCCTTCCGGTAGCATATTAAGCAACATGTCACATAGTTTGTTCTCTCTCATCCTCCCACCGGGAGTGCCACTGTTACAGCAAAGCATTTGATTTGGAGATTTTTTTTCTTCTTCTACCACCCCTACCCTGCCCAAAGTTCATACTGCTGAAAGAAAACCCAACTACATGCACAGAAGGTCAAAGAAATGGGCACTGTACTAGGTGCTGAAGGGGCAAAAGTCTGGGATGGCCCTTGGTTCCTGGGGGAGCTCATTCTAGTCTGGAATTGCTCCCCCACTCCTACATGGATAAGCTTTACTCTTACAGTATGGAGGTTCCCTTTGTGCCAGAGGAGCAAAGTTATCAACAACTCATCTCATACCACAGCTCTAAGATGGTATATTGGAGTTCTAGCCTCAGGCCATGAAGTACCCTTGAAGTCAAGGTCAGGGATTTGAACTTGATTCATCAAGTTATTGGAATCACTGTCACTTCGGTAGAGTCTGAATTCTTAGAGAAATTAACTCTTGGATGCAGAGCAGATGGTGCAGCTTGAATACAAGTACAACTGAAGTGATGCTGGTCAAAGTCTTTCCCTTAAGGCATTGTCTCCACTTCCCATTAAAGGCACACAGCCTCCCCCTCATTTCTCAAAAGGATACAAAGTCTTTTTGACTCCTCACTAAGCTTGATGGATCACGCAACATCAGTTTAAAAAATGACTTACTCCACCTTCAGGCTCACTAAAAGATCATCTCTTCCCCCTCAGACAAAGACTGGGCAACAGTAATCCACGCATGTATCACTTCCAAGATGGGCTACTACAAGTCACTGTATAGGAGGATGACATACAGGCAGCAGCTGGAACAGACTGCAGCTCTCTGCTTGCTCTATGACTCAGGCACCCACAAACACATGAATCCTGTCCTCAAGCGACTCCCTGTCAGTTCTACATACCAACTTCAGGTTTCAGTCTTAACAGATCAAACTCCCACTACAACAACCAAATATTGATTTAAGAACAACATGGTCCTCTCATACAGTGTGCATCACTAATACTAGGATGAAGCATGCAAGGCCTGAAGATAGAGCATTTAGTCTTATGGGGATGTTTACTATGGAACAGACTCCCAAGAGTCAGGTAAATGCAGAATCTGATCAGGAAACTTTACAAAACCTTACTCTTTGAGAAAATCTTTCCAAATATTAATCTAATCTAAACTATATATATA